TCTCTGATTTCACATACACATTACTAAAAGATAATTCATAAATCACCCGTAGAGTTATAATTCGCAATATTACAGTGAATGTGTCTGCTAGGTCATTATTTTCCAATTCGCAAAAAGTCTTCCAAATCTTTGTGCTGAAATGCTTCTTTTCCCACTTGGATCTAGTTTAAAAACTACTGTGTTGCCACCAGCCATTAAAGCAGACCAAGCACCATACGTCCCGTAGGAAATGATGGAATGATTGCAAAAAGAAAGTAGTGCCAAATCATTCCTGTAATCTTCAGATCCACACCAACTCACAGTAGCGTTGCAACTGGACAGCCCCATGAGTTGTAAGTTCGTTTCAAGCTCTGGGATGAGAGTCTTCCTGGTCCATTCCATATCGTCGCTTGTAACAGCAAACACCACTTTCGAATTTCCATTCTTGTTTGTACGTCGCAAAATATATTTCATTGCATGAACATAATAATCTTTGGTCACAACATTTGTCGTTCCAATTTTTTTTTTAAGGTACTTGAGATAATCTGTTCGACGAACATGAACTCCTATATATATCACCTGCAAAGAAGCAAAATTGTTTAATGATCTATTGATAAATAATACCTTTTGTGCACAATGTTCTCATCAGTGATGAACTCAGCAAGAATCTGGGGGGAAAATTTATAAAATTAAATGAAAATAAAGTCAAAATCTCATTTATGCATTCGTCGTATCCACAAAGAAAATTAAGTAAAAATACGGTAACCACGTTGTGACAAAGTATGGTAACCATTAGTAAATTGTCACATAGGTGACTACATTCTTAAAGTTAGTCCTCGAGCAATTCATAATTACCAAAGTTTCTATCATATCCAACATTACCTTTGATGATAGAGCAGAACTGTTTAAACTACTGGCTGCTTTCCACAATGTCTGCCATGCGTAACTCTTCAATTTGCCGTTGTATATAAATTCTTGTTTCAGAGAATTTCGTGTCCGATATATTGTTTCAGCCAGTACTGAGTACCTTCTGAAGTCAAAGATATAATAATTAAAATTAAGAATATTATCTGTTCTTCTGCGTTCAAAACATTAATATTAAGAAACTTCGTGAATTACGTTTTGAAATTAAATAAATCAATTTAAACTGAATTATTCATTCACATCTATAATATAAAAATGAACCGCAAAATGTGTCGGTAAGCGCTTAACTCAGCAACGCCTGGACCAATTTGGGCAATTCTTTTTTTAAAATGTTCTTTGAAGTTCAAGGATGGTTTTTACCACGTCGAGAAAGAATTCGAATAATTGGCCGAAAAAAACTAAAGACAGCCCTTTTTTGTTTTCCTATACAAACTTTTTCTAAGCTCATAAGTAGAGTCAATTTGAGACTTTATAGCTGTTGTATTAAAGCACTACATTGTTGTTAGTAGCTTACAAGCACTCATTGTTGTGGTATGTCCTAAACGTCAAAGAGATCAATTTGCTGGGTTGCCACCTGTCTCCGGTTTAGACCGGAGACCCGGTTTTTAGCTTCATCTCCGGTTTTTGAAAATTATGTCCGTT